ATTAATGCTGCATTAGTATTGAAAATTTATACACATCTGAAATCTGGATATGCAAATTTATGGCTCCCACAAAAACCATAATTCTTCTCTCTTACACAAACTAAATGTAGTATTTCCTATTATTCTATATGGTATCATATATTAAACCATAAAAACCTCATGTAATACATCTGAGTTACAGTTACTTGGGGGAACATTACTGAATTTCCTGGCTTCTATGCCCATAACTTCTCAACCGTAAAGTTACATCACCACCGTTTTCATCCCAGTTTTCTTTTAAAAGAAATAAATAAGAACACAATCAGTTCAAAACGCTAAAGTTTTCTCCAGTACTAAAGTACCTGAAAAACTCAAGCAAGCCCTATGTCAACCTTTACACACCTGAATAACCAGTCCTTACTCTACTTCTCTCGGAAACCATTTCTGTTTCTTTTGAAATGCACACAGCATGTACAAATTCTGACACAGCAGGCATAAGATCTGACCTTTTCAAATGCAGCTACAGGAGAATAATCCAGGTTAAAAACAAAATTTTTAAAGCATGTTATAGTTTAAATTGATGACTTAAAATGCTCATAAAATTAAATATGGATATCCTGCATTATATTAACCTTCTGGTAATAACCCAGTTTAGTTGGCCAACTGATGAGAATATTGAAAACCTGGAGCTATCTTTAACTGTTCTAATTACTATTCAAAAGCAGAATAAAAGTGTCAATAGTTACAATATCCCACTGTTGCTACAAAGGTATGATTATGGCAAAAGGCTTTTTTTTTTTTTTTAAAGCAAACCTTTTCTGGGATGTTGCAGCAAGTAAAACTACCAAGTCTATAATGCCGTGAAAGTCAACTGATTCAAAAGTAAAACAGAACTTCAACAAAGCAAATTTGACTAAGTGAAGCTTTACACATTCCACACACTTTATGTTAAAAAAAAACCAGAATCCATTTTGTAAAATGTCAGTTTGGACATTCAAAACCCGATACATTTTTCAGTGTTACAAATTCTATAGCTAAGAGGCTAGAGAGCCAAAGTTTTCACTATCTACAATGCCAATTAATTTTCACCATCCTCAAACTCAGCAATGGGGATTTGTTTAAGATAAAACCTTATCCCTCCACATCCAGCATCCTGAAGAGTCAACATAAGCACCATGTGTGTAAAAGTGATAGGCCAAAGCCTTAGAGCACTTGAACACACAGTCACAGTACACACAACACACACAACCTCCACCTCAGCCCTGGGTGACAACTCACTTGTTCAGATGTCTTTCCCATATGACAAAATAGATCCTTTCACCCTCTACCAAGGCCCATTCCAAATTGGTTGAAATAGTTATTGAGCAAAGTTCTAACTGGCTGACCAAAATTTTCACTTGTTTGGCTGGTTTTGACATCTAGAGAAAGTAATTTTGAAAAAAAGGCCTATCTACCAGCATTCAGGCCAAGATACAAAAACACTACTAAAAAACGTTCATCTAAGAGCATTTTACACCAAACTACTCAATAAAGAAGGCTAGAAGTTCTACGTAGACCAAAGCCCAAAGGGATAAATTAAGAAATATTCCTAAAAATGGAAAGAAAATAACACATCAAGAATAGAAGTAGTATTTAAGCAACAAAAAGTAATTTTCGTAAGTCTTATAAATATTTTGAAGGCAACTCAAGAGACAGTCTGTGAACATCTAGGGAAAATGACTTGACCGTAGATAGAACTGTCCCTTTTTAAAGACTCAGGGTGGGCTAGAACCTAGGCGGCTAGTCAATTTGAATGTTAGGGCACAAAATCTTTTTCCACTTCAGTGTGGAGGGCATTTTCAATTCGTGAAGGAAGCCTGGGTATTAGGAAGCTATATCCTGATGCTTGAAAGAGCATCCTCCAGCTCTGACTGTCAATATGGTAGCTGCTAGCCACATGTGGCTACTGAACACTTGAATTGTGGCTAGCAAAACTGGGGAATTGAATTTTTTATTGTATTTATTTAAAACTTTAGTTCCTTAGTCACACATTTCAAGTGTTCAATAGCCACATGCGGCAAGCGGCTACCTTGTTGGATAGTGCAGATACAAAACATTTTATCATCATAGAAAGTTGTATTAGACAGTGTTGTTTGGATCCTTTATTCAACCATAAAAATGATGCCAAAGAATACAATTTAACTCCTAACCTATTTTTTAACTGAGTTACAGGCACCATGCCAAATGCTGTGGGCATTACAGAGAAACAAGAAGGCCTAGTTTCTCCCTCAAAACACAATCTAGTGAAAAAGACATAACTAGTAAGAATGAAATAAACACTAAGTTGGCGTGGGATGGGGCAGGAGGCAGTGATTAATTCCAACCAATGAAAGCACTACCGATTTGGCTGGAGTCAGAGGAGCACCTTCACCTATTAAGTGCACTGAAGCACTGGGTACATACTTCAAAGCACATGTTTTGGCATCGGAGAGCTCTGGGCTCATGTCCCAGCTGTATGCCCATAAACAAAGCACTTAATCTCGCCGTATCTTTATCTTCTCATCTATAAAATGGGGGATAATAACGCCAGCCTACTTACAACATAAGATTCCAACATATGAGATTAGGGTTAAAGGAGCTTCATAAACAAATGCGCTCTCTAAATTGTTATTTTCAATAACTCAAATAGGGTGAGGTGGGGAATCAAGAAGACTTCACAAAAGAAGTGACATTTGAGATGGACTCTGACCTGTCTCTGAGATCCTACCAGATAGTATCCTGTAGAAGCAATTCATTTTTTCACATCTCAGATGTTGGAAATAATATTTGAATGGCACAGTGTAGTATAGGAAGAAGGCTTGGAGAGCCCCAGGCTCTATCCCCCAACTGCCCAGAGGGCTGAGAGGACCCCTATCTCAGTAATGCACATGATATGGGGGGGTGTCTCTGCTAGAGGGCGAGAACCGAGTCTCCTGAAAGAATCCTGGATTTTGGTGTCTGCCAGCCTGATGTAGTCTGAGCCTCACCAGTTCTAAGGCCTTGAAAATACCACTTAGCCGGTTCAGTTTCCTCATCTGTAGGAGAGGGTGGAATCGCCACCTCACAGACAGTAGAGAACACACGCAAAGTTACTTCCCATGCTATAAAGGGCCTACCACATAGGCTGTCCAAAACAGCTCTAAGCTTCACTTCCTCAGCTTTCTGAAGGGAACTCAGGGGGCATCAGATAGCTGTGCAGATGCCCATCCTCCCCCACCAGACTGTAAGCAACTTGGGGGCAAAGCCCATGTCTCACACTGAGTAATCAGGAGCCCACCTCACCAGTACATATCGAATGCCCACACTGTGCCTGACACCACGCTAGATGTTCATTTCGATTATCCTGTCTACTCCTCACAACGAGTTGTTTGAGCCTCAGTTTTTCCTCATCTGCAAAGTTCCTACTTCACCGCACTCTCCAGAATTCAGAAAATGACAATGTGTGTAAAGACATCAGTACTGCACCTCGCACATAATAAAAGCACAGTAAATGTCAGTTATCATCATCTCCATTTTCCAGATAAGGAAACCGAGGACAGAGATTAAGCTGCTGGGGTCAGTAACTGGCAAAGGCAGGCTTAACTTCCAGGCAGTTGGCCTCTAGAGCCAACGTGCTACCAAGCACCCAGTTCAGGGCCTGGCACACGACAGGCTGAGCTCCGTGAATGTCCCCCTGTCAGATCCTGAGCAAGGTCTAGAATCAGTGCAAGTTGCATGAGAAGAGGAGCCTGATGGGCAAGGTCTAGGTGGTGTGGCCCCTCAACCTCTCTACAATGGGAGTAACTGCACCTATCCACTTCACAGGGCCGTTCTGAAGAGGGAGTGCGAGGATACACGTCAAGGTCTTAGCATAGGGGCTGGCACAGAATAAAGGCTCTGTAGGTGGCAGCTACCCTGCCCTCGTTTTACAGATCAGGAACGAGACAGAGATGAAGAAACGCCGACATCACTCAGCAAGTAAGTGGCTGCGCAGGACCCAATCTAGGCAGTCTTACTCCCGAGTCCGCCGGCTCTTACGCCAAATGCCCAGCAAAGCGCCTGGCACACGACAGGCTGAGGCCAGCGCCCTCAACAAGGCGCTGAACGCCGCCCAGATAATAATGGTCCCAAGTGTCAGGAGGAGCCTGAGGGGAAAAAGGGCTGGAGCATCCGGGTACCTGAGCCCTGGTCGGTGGAACCTCGGACCAGTACCTTAAACCTTCCCGGGCCTCAATTTCGTGCTCCGAGACATGGGGATAATACTGTTTCCAACCTCAGAAACGCAATCGGATGCCCGGGCCTGCAAAGCAAGGCTCAGTTAAGAAGCTAGAGGGGCCTCGGGAGTGGGTGGGGGAGAAGACACGCCGGGGGAGGTTCCAAGGGGGAGGGGAGGGGGTGATTACCTTTGCGGAGCTCGCGGTGCCACACGGAGACGATGGGTCCCGCGTGCTTGCGGTGGTGGATGAGCCACAGGGACAGGGTCTGCACGCTCTGCTGAGAGTTACTCAGCTCCGAGAGCTTCTTCTCCAGCGCCGACTCGGAGAAGGAGGACATGGTGGCAGCGGTCAAGCCCAGCAGGGAGCGGCCTGGGCCGCCCAGTGCGACGGCAAGAGCGACGCACGAGGCCTGGGCCTCACTTGACGGCCTTGGGGACTCTTTACTGACTGACAGACAGCCAGGGGGGCAAAGAGGGGGAGGGGATGGGTCTCCGCAGTAACAGCGGCCCGTGCCGCCGCCACAAGATGGCCACCGACCTCTCACCCCGCCGCCACAGCGGGGTCAAAGGGCAAGGGCCGGAGGAGCTGGACACCAGGAGGTGTCAGAGCTGTGGAAAAACGCCCCTCCAGTGGCGGCGGCCTCTCTGAACCTCGCTCAGGGCAGTTCGAAAGCCGCAGACGGGGAAAGGAGCGCACTTGAGCGGGCTCCGGAAGGCGCTTTCTCCGCTCGCGCCCGCACGCCGGCGCAGTGAGTCTCCGCGGAACCCTTTCTCCCGCTCCCGCAGAACCTTTCTGGCGCGGTACGGCGCGCTAGTTAGCGCGTCACTTCCGGCGAGGAGGAGGAGGCGGGAGAGTGAGGGAAAGGCTGGAAGACGAGGTAAGGGAAGGGTGGCGGGAGCAACAGGGAACCCAGCAACCGCGAGCCCTTAGAGGGGGACCCTGAGGGGACGCTGAGGCGGAGAGATCACGACTTGGGTTTGGGAAGGGGGCTTCTTTCCTCACCTGGCTGGCCCCAGGCCGCACTCTTCCTCCATACACGTCCTGCTCTCTGGCCGCGCCCCCCACAAGCTTCTTTTTGGTTCTGCCAAGCCACCCACGTGCCGTTTTCACGCCTCCACGCCTTGGCTCTTGCTGTTCTTTCTCCAAAGGTGACGCCCACCTCTCACCTGGTGGCCTCCCATTCGGCCTCCAAGACCTCCCTTTAATGTCCAGTTCTGACGTTTAGTCTGTGACAGCACCGCCATGAAACACCGCTGTGAAACACCGCCATGTGCTCTCCGCTCTTAATCGGTTGCTCATGCAGGGACTTACATGCTGCCCTTGCCCTCTGGGGGTCCAGTTGACTGTTTCTGAAATTTAAGTACTATGTTAACTTTCTGAGGAGCGGGGACAGAGAAGTCAGTGGATCCACTGACCTTCTTTAAGGAACACTATTTAAGACTCTGAACCTTTTTCCTATTTTTAAAAAGTTTTAAATTCCAGTTATCAAATCAGCAGAGAAATTTTGACCTTCTAACTGCTTAAGGGGGTGGAGGTAGGGAGTTAGGTTATTGAAGACATAATGGAATTTTAAAGTTTCCTGATTGTCATGGAACTTCCCAGTTGTGGGCAGACTCCAGTTAGGAGACGTTCTTCTAGCTGATGCCTGTTTTTGCTCTACTCAACTGTATTGTAGTTCTTTGCTTAGATGCTTTTACTCCTCCTCCAGACAAGAATCATCGTAATCATACCTAACATGGTGAACAGTTGCTAGAAAAACACTGTGTTTTCACGTAGTAACTCGTTTAATCCTCATGGCAAAGCTATGAATAGGTATTGTGTTACAGAATTCCTATTTGGCAAATGAGGAAACTGAGGCAGAGAGAGGTTGGGTGACCTACCCAACATCACATAACTGAGATTAGAGAGAAAGGACTGCATCTTATCTGTCTTTGTTACCCCAGCACCTGATTCGTAGCTGATTGAGTGAGTTGATATAAAAGAGATGAATAGCCCAAAATCACACAATATCTAGTCGTAATTATAACCTAGGGCCTTTGAGTCCAAATCTAGACCATTTTTATGTATTAAGTAACACTGTCATATACTGAGTGCCTTTATACCAACTCACTGTGGATTAAGCACATTACATACATTCTTTTATTAAACCTTTACAAACAGTCTTATGGAATGGGGATTATTATCACTAATTGATAGATGAGGAAACATAAAACATGGGTAGGTAATCTGTCCAATGTCACTTGGACATTGTTAGGAAATGACAAAGCCTGGAGTCAAATCAAGGTTATCTGATCCCAATTTCTTTACTCCCAACCAGTGGTTCATTCATTCATTCATCAAATAATTTTTGAGCACCTATGTCTGAAGCTCTCTTCTAGGCAAACAAACAGAGAGAATCCATGTTCTTGGAAGCTTCTCTTCTGCAGGGGAAGCTGGGTAAACAAACGTGCAAGTATGAAATGAGTTAAAAAGTGATGAGTACCTTGAATAAAAGTCAAGGAGGGTGAAGGGGGTGAAGATGCCTGTGTGGGCGGATAGGAGTCTACTATATATGCTGCTCAGAGAAGCCTCGCTGATGTGGTGACATTTGATCAGAGCCCTGAAAGAAATGAGAGAACAAACCATATGCTGTGTGGTGGAATATTGATCCAGGCAGAGGGAAAACCAAGTGCAAAGTCCTGAGGTTACACCATTGTTGGCATTTTTAGGAACAGCAAGGAGGATAGTAAGGCTGGAGTGATATAGACCAGAAAGCTAGAAATGAGCTCAGAATAGTAGCCAGGGAGCACATCACTTGAGGACTTGTAGGCAATAGTAAAGACTTTGGATATTACTCTGAATGAGATGAGAGTCTATTGTACGGTTTTGAGCAAAGGAGGAGCATTGTGGCTAAGTAGAAAATAGAGGGTACAAGCGCAAGGATGGAAGCAGGAAGGCCAGTTCAGCGCTGTTGTTAATAGCCCAGGTGAAAGAATGACTCAGACCAGGGTGGAGGTGGTCAGCAAGGGTCGGATTCTGCGGATATTTTAGAGGAAGAGGTCACAGGATTTGCTGACAAATTAGATATGAGGTGTAAAAGATAAGAGTTTATATGGCCCCGAGAGTTTTAGCCTAAAGCAACCATGAGAATGGAGTTTGCATTTTCTGAATTGCAGAAAGAGCTGGTTTGGGGAGTAAGAGTAGGAATTTAGACTTGTGCGTGTCCAGTTGGAAATGCATGTCCAATGTCTCATAGGCAATTGGGTTTATGGGTCTGGTGTTCAAGGGAGAGATCTGGGCTAGGATATAAATGTAGGGGTCCTATGGAGGAATAGATGTAGAAAGAAGAAGGACCTGGTGCCTGAGTCCTAGGACTCTTCAACATTTACAGGCCTGAAAGATGAGGATGGTTTAGTCATGTGATTTCTTCTTCAGCCTGTTAATATTAGTTACAGTGATTGATTTTCAAATTTTGAGCCAGCCTTACAGCCCTGGAATAAACCCTGCTTTGTCATGGTGTATAATTCTTTTCACATGCTGCTGAATTATATTCCCTAGTATTTTGTTTAGCATTTTTGCATCTATATTCATGAGGGAAATTGGTCTGCAGCTTTTTTTTTTTAATTTTTGTATTGGTTTTTTTTGTTTTGTTTTGGTGAGGAAGATTGTCCCTGAGCTACCATCTGTTGCCAGTCTTCCTCTATTTTGTATGTGGGGCGCTGCCACAGCATGGCTTGATGAGCGGTGGGTAGGTCCACACCCAGGATCTGAACCCGTGAACCCTGGGCCACCGAAGCGGAGGGTGTGAACTTAACCATCTTTGTCAGATTTTGGTATCAGCATAATACTAGTTTCATAAAGTGGATTGGGGGGACTGGCCCCATGGCATAGCGGTTAAGTGCACACACTCTGCTGCTGGCTGCCCGGGTTCGGAGCCCGGGCACGCAGCGACGCGCCACTTGTCAGGCCATGCTGTGGTGGTGTCCCACATAAAGTGGAGGAAGATGGGCACGGATATTAGCTCAGGGCCAGTCTTGCTCAGCAAAAAGAGGAGGATTGGCATGGATGTTAGCTCAGGGCTGATCTTCCTCACAAAAAAATAAATAAATAAATAAAATGGATTGGAAAGTGTTTCCTCCTCTTCTTTTTCTAGAAGACTGTGTAGAATTGGTGTCAATTGTCTTTAAATGGTTGGTAGAAGTCCCCAGTGAAACCATCCGGGCCTGGAGATTTCTTTTCTTCTTTTTTTTTCTTTGTATGGTGTAAAAGTTTGTAAAAAGTATGTAAAGTTATTTGTGGTATTCCTGTATTATTCTTTGATATCTACAGTCTGTAGTGCTATCTCATTTCATTACTGATATTAGTAATTTCTCTCTCTCTCTCTGTCTCATGAGTCTTGCTAGAAATTTCTCAATTTTATTGATCTTTACAAAGAACCAGTTCTTTGTTTCATTGATTTTCTCTATTGTTTTCTGTTTTCAATTTCATTGACTTCTATTCTGATCTTTATTATTTCTTCTGTCTGCTTACTTTGGATTTATTTTGGTTGTCTTTTTCTAGGTTCTTAAGGTGAGAGTTTAGATTACTGATTTGAGAGCTTTCCCCTTTTCTAATATATGTATTTAGTACTATAAATTTCCCTCTCAGCATGGCTGTAGCTGTGTCCCACAAATTTTGTATTTTCATTTTCATTCATTTCCATGTATTTTTTTAAATTTCCTTTGAGATTTCTTCTTTCATCCATGGATTATTTAGAAAGATGTTGCTTAGTTTCCAGGTGTTTGTTGATTTTCCTGTTATCTCTCTGTTAGTGATTTCTAGTTTGATTCCATTGTGGTTGGGGAACACACTCTGTATGATTTCGGTTGTTTAAAATTTGTTGAAGCTTGTTTTATGGCCCAGGATATGGTCTATCTTGGCATTCTTCTGTGGGCACTTGAAAAGAATGTGTATTCTGCTGTTGTGGGTCGAAGTATGCTGTAAATGTCAATTCGATCCTGTTGGTTGGTGGTGTTGAGTTCTTTTGTTATCTTTGTTGATTTTCTGTCTAGTTGTTCTATCAGTTGTTGAGAGAGGAATGTTGAAGTCACCACCTATACTTGTAACCACTTGTACTTCTCCTTTCAGTTTTATCCGTTTTGCTTCGTATATTTTGTGGCTCTGTCATTTTGTGCATACACATTTAGGATTGCTGTGTCTTCTTGATAGATTTACCCTTTAATCATTATACAATGTCCCTGTCTGTCTCTGGTAATTTTCTTTGCTCTGAAGTCTACTTTATCTGATATTAATATAGCCACTCTTGCTTTCCTTTAATTAATGTTTGCATGGTAATATCTTTTTTTCCATCCTTTTACTTTCAACCTGCCTATGTTATGTTTGAAGTAAGTTTCTTGTAGACAGCATATAGGAAGGTCATATTTTTTAATCAACTCTGACAAGTACTGTCTTTTCGTTGGTGTAATTAGACCTTTTTACATGTACTATAATTATTGATGTTAGCGCTGAAGTCTGCCATTTTATTTTTTGTTTTCTATTTGTTCTGTTTTTTGTTTCTCTCTTTTCTTTTTGCAGACTTCCTATGGGTTAATTGAACATTTTTTAGAGTTCTGTTTGATTTATCTATAGTGTTTCTGAGTGTATCTCTTCGTATAGCCATTTTAGTGGTTCTTCTAGGTATTACATTATGTATAGGTAACTTGTCTTTACCAGTTCTAGTGAAGTATAGCAACCTTATTTCCCTTTATATCTCTTTACCTTCCCCCATTTGTAATATAATTGTCTTAAATGTTTCCTCTATGTAATTTTAAAACCACATCAGTCAACGTTATAATTTTTGCTTCTACTATCAAACACAATTTAGAAAACTCAAAAGAATAAGGAAAGCCTATTGTATTT